ATATGACTGCGTGTACCACCGGGGGTACACGTGGCCTGACGATCAAGTTTACCGTGTACCACCGGTGGTACACGTGGCACGGAACGTGTTAATAATGATTCAAGATTTTTCTTTCGAGAATCGACTATGGTTTATCGCTGTTCAAATAGGATTCAGGGTTTAATATTCACAAGCTGAGATGAAAACCGCAGAACGGAGCTTTAGATGGTAAACCATCGTTGGTATCGGGCCGCGAAGGGGCCATCGAGACCAGCCCTCAGCAGCTCGACGAACAAGAAGGATATCCTGTCAATAAAACGACCACCCCGGGACACGATCGACGGACAAGCCCAAAGATTTGTCGACGATTCAAGCCGAACAGATTGCAGCCCTGTCATTCAAAGGTCTTCAGTTTCCTCGACTGTCAAACGATTCCTGCCTCCTCCACCGAACTCCCAATTTCGAGCAAGTATTTATATAAAACTCTGACGTTCCAGGTACTTTTGAAAGTTGAAAGGTTCTCGTTTTATAGAAGCTAGCACGCGCGATTAAAGGGTAGAGTACAAAGTAAATGTTTCGTTTCTGTACACCGTAAAAGTTTGCTCGACGTCGAAAACGCCCTTTTCATTAGCCGGCTAATTAATTAAACAGTTGTCAGCGCCGATAATAATTCGTTATGCGGCCCACATACCCGACGGTTTATTCAGCTGCCTTAAACGACTGATTAATTAGCAGCGCGATCAACTAATACAATAACGAGCCGATCAGCTCGCTGCCTTTGCCCGCTGACTATGTTTAAATAATAAATGTTGCGTTATGCAAAATATGAAAGCGGAGCTTGATTAATTAATCTGTTGGATAAGTGGACTTTTATTATATCGTCGATGAACGAAACTTATGTAAACGGAAGGAACCCTCTTTAGCCCATTTTTGGATGAGTCCTCCGGTACGAAATTCGAAGTACGCAACGCGACGGGACGCGCGATCGTTTCGTTCTTGACTTATTTATTCGGGTCAAAAGCTCGCAAATGAGCTTTCTGGAGTGTCTCAGCGTCAGAGATGTCTGACTGGCGTCAAAAGAAAGTCAAGGGGGCCGGAACTCGATCCCCTCGTTAATACAACGAGGAGAAACCTGGACCAACACCGACAGGAATCTCTCTGCGCGTGGAACCGTCAACCGTGTGCAATTAACGAACGTTTTGATAATCCTGAGCTCTAACTTACGTTCAGCTTTGTCTTTTAACTTGACAATAAAGGCTCTATGCCTGCAATCAAAGTTAGTCACGAGTTATCGACTTTCAAACAGTTCCAATTGAAAACAGCTTTTCCATTATAGATTCGATAAGAACAAATAAAGAAATATTCAAGAATTTACGAAATATAAAAATACAGATATTTGTATAACAATATTTCTCGTTTCTCAATACTAAATAATTAAAAATATATAAATAGTGACGAACAAAAGTAATACTTTTATTTGTCTGATGGAATAATTTGTACTAAACGTAAAAATTGCACGTCCTTCTGAAAATAATTACAAGTGGAAACAGAATCGTTTCGAAAAACGAAGAATAATTGTTTATTTTCTCGTTCTACACTCAGCGAGAGAGTTCGTGTCAATTTGTAAGGACAAATGAAATTACGGGAATGAGAATAGAATGGTAGTGATAATCGTTACCAGGTTCCCGGTTTTCCTCCGATTCGACGCAATGAAAATCGCGAAGTTAACGCGGCGAGCCTCGTAAATACACGCGGCTTGACCCAGTATCGGGACAATTTTCCAGGATCGATACGGTGGTTTTCCGCTGCGCCACGCAGAGAGAGCGTGTCTCGAGTCTCGAGATATCGCTGATTGCACGCGGGACCCCTCTGGGATCCACGGAATTGGATCGAGTTCAACCGCGGGAACGCGTTTCCCGTCTCGACTTACTCGCCCACCCGACAAACGTATTCGATGGATTCACGGAATCGCGATTGTTTCCTTTCAACAACGATTCCATTTTCAGAACACCGAGATTTACTTCGCTTCGAGTACATCGACGAAATCGATTGATAGTTCTGTTACAAAACTCATGACGTTCGAGGTTGTTCAAACGTTTTAGTGCCAAGGGTTCGTATTAAATTAAACAACAGTTGGCCTCAATAGGAAATTAGAATTACATAGGCGACGTAAAAATAATTATGAGCTAGGAATTCCCTAATGCAAAAGTGCTTGGCAAGCGAGATTACTTACATTCTTGCTTAAACGTGAAATATTCCGTGAGATGACGGCACTCGTGGTTGCCTCTGAGGAGAAACAGTGTTGTGGGGTGGCACAGCTTAAGTGCCCACAGGTACAATACGCACTGGAACATAAAAAATAAACGAGAGAGGTGAATTATCGTTTAACGTTCAGTCGACCCGCGGGTGCTGTAATTAAAACGGTTAATCCTTAATGCCAGGCAGCGCAGAGATTTTAATTCTGACGCTACATCATCCTAGTATTAAAACCTCGTTCCATTTTCTGATTCGACTTCGGGTTTATCCGGTTTTGTAAATGCACCGTGTAATGCCGCTACCACAAATTAAATGCAAACACTGAGCCGGGCGAAATGAAACTATATAAATCGAGAAATAAATTCATACTCAGTTAATTCACAGGAAAAAAAAAAAAAAACTGATCAACACTCCAAATTAATTATCGTAATATAATTATGTCAATATCGTTATATAATTACGTCATATAATTATGTCGTAAGTATAATTAAATCAATAAATGATTTTCCTGAAAGAGTCAGTTCGAACACGTGTAAAATCAACAAAAGCACGCGGCATTTCTTATTGACTCTCCTTGCATAATGTATGAGGAGAGATGTGTGTTCGCGAGAACAACTATGGCAGTGGTTCAGCCAGAATTTCGGGAAACGCGAGACGGAAAGGCGTGAAACGCGGAGACTCGGACGATGGTGTTATTTATCCGGCCCCGGCACTCGTCTCTATTTCTCTCCGCTCTGGCCTGGACCGTCCGCAATAATTTATAACGCCGCCATAGATTACGCCGCGAGTTGGAACGTGGCCCCGGTCTGGTGACTCGTGTCGCGATTCGTTATAAACGCGTCGCCGGATTTGTTTAACCCTTTGCCGCCTTTGGTTCGGGTCAGACTCGTCGCGTTAACTGATTCATCGCTCCTACTTTCCTGCGTCCTCGTGACACTTGGCTCTTTTCATTCGTTAAGCTAATGTCACGGCTAGGCTCCGGATTTTTATGGAAATTAACGTACTCGTCACGGCAATTTAGAGAACGAGACGTCGTCGAGAAGAATTCGCTTCATCCTTCAACGTCTTGAATATTATTTTCATTTTTTATACTCCTCAGATATGATCATTCTATAAATGCGTCGAATCCAGTCTATTTATGAAACGAGGAGTGGATCATCGATTGACACTAGAACTACCGATGTATTTTTACATGAGCAATTATCCATTAAAAACTCGTCATTTTTCCGTCGTTCTAGTGTTAAAACAGTAAAGCATCGATGCTTCTTTTGAAAGATCAGAGGTATTCGCCATGACGACGAACGGGGCTTTATTTCAAGGCGTTAATTGACTGCACCGGGCGGACGACGAAATTAGCGGAATTGGCATGCACCAGTGGAACAAAAACGCCTACGCCAGAAACCGTCGTTTACATTTCAACGCAACTGGCCCGAACGTAATTAATCTCGCGAAATATACGTTCAGACTCTGTACCATCGGTTATGACTAAATAAAAACGAGCACATCTTGACGGACAGGTACGATCTCTTTATTCGAAACGGACGAGACTGGCTGAAAATTAATTATAAGCTAGCAAACAATATTCGAAACCACGCCGCATTGGTAAAATCGATTTTGTGGCCAGAGAGGGAGGGGACCCGAGCCATCTTTTAGTCATCGTGTATACATTAACCGGTTTACCAGGTATTAATGCAGCTTCCGTTCAATCGTATGTATAAGCAGAATATGGATTTCGATTCTGTCGATTTGGACAACATTTCGATTAGTCAGAACGTGATTGACGAAAAGTTATCTAATAATTTCGTCGTATCAAATCGAAGGCAATTGTCACTTGCAACTACTCGTTCTAAAGCGTTATTGAATAATAATATAGTATTTTAAACAAATAGTGGGAACACAGTTTTTTAAATGAATGATTGAAACATTGTTGTTAGAGACGTGATCATCTAATGGTATATCCTAGGGACAATAACACGTGAATGATTTAATGGGCTTTTGTTAATTCGGTAGGCGAGCCGAGTGCCGGGTAATTACTCGCGGCCCGATTGCCTCCCCATTCGACGGGCTGATTAATAGAAATTCGGAAAATGATCGATGCGCGCTGCGTTTCCCCACCTTTTGTCCCACGCGGCCGCGATTATCCGCGCTCATTATCCCGTGTCTCTATTACGCGTTATCATCCCCGTGTCCCTCGTCACCATCGAGCCCATTTTCCTTTTATCATCCGACACGACGCTCTATTTCACGTAAAACCTGCCATAGTAATGCGTACCAATTCCGTGAACCAATCTCCACGGTCATTGTTCGCGATCTCTCGTTGGAAAAAAAAGAAATGTTTGATCTTTTTAATTACTACGAGAAGAGTCTTTATTATCTACTTTTTTTCTTCTAAGAGAGGCAAGATGTGATTGAAAAAGCTTGAGCGTGGGATCGCGAGGACGGAGGAAACGGCAGCCGAGGACGGAAATCTTAACTGCTGCGCAATTTCTAAAGCCAGTAGGCAGGCACAATGGAAATAAGAACGACGCGAGCGTATTACTTGGCCTCGACTCCCTCGCGCGCTGGACATACATTAGGTAACGCACGTGGAAATCTTGGAAATTCATGGCTCGAGAATTTCATCGCAGCTTCCCTTCCTATGGGATATTCTTCCTTACTTCCTCCTCCTTCTCCTCCTCGTACCCGATATTGTCGCTTCGAAAAAGTTTGGAATTACTTGCTCGATAAGAGGATGGAAACTCGAGTCTCTTTAACGGCAAATTTTCTTGGCAAAGAGATTAAAATCTACTGAAACTCGTAGACGTTAATACGAATTGCTCTACTTTTCAAATTTAATAATATATATCGTCGCTCGAAAGTATGTAGATTCCTGACTCGATACAACATCTCGTTTGTCAAATTGATTTAACTGTTGTGAAAAAAATCAGACACAGGAACATTCGTAATGAACAACATTTATCTTGGAATAATATGGAAATTAGTAAAAGGATGTGCACGAAGAATATCTAATAACTTTCTAAGGCAGTACGAAATAAAGTACAACTTGTCAATGGTTTGTCTACTCTTAGACAGCTTTAACAGTCGAGGAAGTCTTCGCATTGGTCTGAGTAATAATCTATGTCGAATCATACTTTCTGACAAATGTCATGTGTTGTTACACTTACTGACATGTTTAAAGAATGAATTCTTCAACGGAAACAGGCAGCGACGAGATTCGAGTTGAGTTAAACTTAATAAAGCGTCACCGAATTGGCTCGGTGGAATCCACCTAGTGATTTTCCGTAGACGCGGCCGAACGCGATTACCTATTATTGTTCGCAAGCGAAAACGGCTAGCCTGGTCGAGACAATTCTTGGTCACGATGGTCGCATGACACCAGTTAGCGATGCACGTGATTTATCGGTTTGGCAAACAGTCGTGCAGCGTGCCACTCATCTAGACGACGACGACGACGACGACCATAATCATCGTGTGTGGTGTTAGTCATCGTGCCAGATTCCCTTGTCTTTGGCCGCGTCACTTCGTTTGTTTCGGATTAGTAGAGTTGTCTCGTGTAAGCCCAAGCGTAAACTCCGCGAGAACAACAGCCAGAATTTTGTCAAGATTTTCTTGTCAAGAGTCAGACCCTTAATAACTGTCGCCAAAGAAAACCATTTACCACGTTTGTTTCTAATGATGTAATAACAAAACTGTTGTGTGAAATTCCTCACGGATTCCTAGGAAATGTTCAGAAAATTGGAAACTCTCTTGCTGCAGCTTTTAGGTGAATTAATAGGTTTGTTTTGCTAAGACTTAGATCCTTAATAATGGTCTTTAACACTAGAAAGACTGAAACTTAGTATATACCTATATTGGCCAAAAGCAGTCAAAATGACTGCATTGTGAAAGAATAATGTGTAAAGAGATTTGTCTAAAATTAATTTTTAATATTT